CAGGCGCTGGCCTTAATGGGGGGGGATCGACCCCTCTCCATTTTTTATTACGAACTTTTCAACAAAAATGAGATTGTCATTATGTGTAATGCCACACAGGATCGGTCGCTGGCCTTAAGGGGGGGGGATCGAACCCTCCCCCTTTTTTTTTTCAAACTTTTCAACAAAAATGAGATCGTGATTGTGTGTAATGCCACGTAGGATCGGTCGCTGGCCTTAATGGGGGGGATCGAACCCTTCCCCTTTTTTTTTTTCGAACTTTTCAACAAAACTGAGATTGTCATTATGTGTAATGCCACGTAGGATCGGTCGCTGGCCTTAAGGGGGGGGGATCGAACCCTCCCCCTTTTTTTTTCAAACTTTTCAACAAAAATGAGATCGTGATTATGTGTAATGTCACGTAGGATCGGTCGCTGGCCTTAATGGGGGGGATCGAACCCTCCCCCTTTTTTTTTTTCGAACTTTTCAACAAAACTGAGATTGTCATTATGTGTAATGCCACGTAGGATCAGGCGCTGACCTTAATGGTGGGGGATCGAACCCTCCCCCTTTTTTTTTTCCAAACTTTTCAACAAAAATGAGATTGTCATTATGTGTAATGCCACGTAGGATCAGGCGCTGGCCCTAATGGGGGGGGGATCAAACCCTCCCCCTTTTTTTTTTTCGAACTTTTCAACAAAACTGAGATTGTCATTATGTGTAATGCCACGTAGGGTCGGTCGCTGGCCTTAATGGAGAGGGGATCAAACCCTCCCCCTTTTTTTTTTCGAACTTTTCAACAAAAATGAGATCGTGATTATGTGTAATGCCACGTAGGATCAGGCGCTGGCCTTAGTGGAAGGGGATCGAACCCTCCCCCTTTTTTTTCGAACTTTTCAACAAAAATGAGATCGGGATTATGTGTAATGCCACGTAGGATCGGTCGCTGGCCTTAAGGGGGGGGGATCGAACCTTCCCCCTTTTTTTTTCGAACTTTTCAACAAAAATGAGATCGTGATTATGTGTAATGTCACGCAGGATCAGGCGCTGGCCTTAGCGGAAGGGGATCGAACCCTCCCCTTTTTTTTTTTCTGAACTTTTCAACAAAAATGAGATCGTGATTATGTGTAATGCCACGTAGGATCAGGCGCTGGCCTTAGCGGAAGGGGATCGAACCCTCCCCCTTTTTTTTTTTCGNATGAGATCGTGATTATGTGTAATGCCACGTAGGATCAGGCGCTGGCCTTAGCGGAAGGGGATCGAACCCTCCCCCTTTTTTTTTTTCGAACTTTTCAACAAAACTGAGATTGTTATTATGTGTAATGCCACGTAGGGTCGGTCGCTGGCCTCAAGGGGGGGGGGGATCGAACCCTCCCCCTTTTTTTTTTCGAACTCTTCAACAAAACTGAGATTGTCATTATGTGTAATGCCATGTAGGATCAGGCGCTGACCTTAATGGGGGGGGATCGAACCCTCCCCCTTTTTTTTTTTCGAACTTTTCAACAAAAATGAGATTGTCATTATGTGTAATGCCACGTAGGATCAGGCACTGGCCTTAGCGGAAGGGGATCGAACCCTCCCCCTTTTTTTTTTTCGAACTTTTCAACAAAAATGAGATTGTCATTATGTGTAATGCCACGTAGGATCGGTCACTGGCCACGTAGGATCCAACAAAAATGGGGGGGTGACCGGGGCAAACGCGCGGGGGGTCCTGCGTTTGCCAAGCGCAGGATCCCCCCGCGCGTTTCCTCGGGGCAGTCGCGCGGGGGGTCCTGCGTTTGACAAACGCAGGACCCCACGCGTTCGCCCCGGGCGGTCGGCATCCGGGGGGTCCTGCGTTTGCCAAACGCAGGACCCCCGGCGGGTGCTCGGGCCAAACGCGAGGGGGGTCCTGCGTTTGACAAACGCAGGACCCCCCCGCGATAGAAACTTGCACCCGCCGGGGGTCCTGCGTTTGGCAAACGCAGGACCCACCACGTTTGGTAAACGCACGACGCCCCGCCCCCCCCGATTGTCCCCTACCGGCCGGGGGTTCTGCGTTTGACAAACGCAGGACCCCCGGCTAGTGGCCGACACATCAGCGGGGGTCCTGCGTTTGCTAAACGCAGGACCCCCCACCAATGTGCCGGCCGGTAGCGGGAGGTCCTGCGTTTGTCAAACGCAGGATCCCTCGGCTATCAGCCGATTCATCGGTGGGGGGGGGCCCTGCGTTAGTTAGACATAGGGGCCCCCGCCCCCCCCCCCCCATGTGTCGGTCGGCAGCCGGGGGTCCTGCGTTTGGCAAACGCAGGACCCCCGTGATCCCCAGGGTCGACACATGCGGTTGCTGCCCATAGTGTGAGGTAGAGATAGGTCTGCCGTCAGCATGTGGCGTGGAATTGCTTTTGTATTTTGTTTTTTTCCATCTCGTGATGTGGGAGATAGAAATAGGTATCATTGATGCATCCCTCGTTCTTTTTCTTTTTGATATCTCCTCCAGCGAAAGGTCGTAGGTGTCCTGAAGATGCGGATAAGAGGTACAACAAGAGGTCAAAATTGTACCGCGACAAGCTGTGGGCTCTCGACTGGGTCGGAGTGCCCGGCGAGCCCGGGTGCGGTGCTGCTGTATTCTTGACGGAGGACGAAGGGACCACCTGGTATTGTTGTGGTGGCATCATCAGGTCTGAAGTTGACAAGGCCACGGCGGACAAGGATAAGGTCGACGACCGAGATTTTAGGAAATTCTTCCTCACTTCGGTGTACGATTAGCAGGGTACGAATTGGGTCAAGACTGACCACAAGGTCAGCCTTGACATTGCTATATTCAAGGGGTATGGTCAGAAGGCATTCGGTATGAAAGCCTTCAGCAGCAAGCGGGACGGGAATGCTTCAAGGGTGCTCTTACCCATTGAATTCCTCACCAAGACCAATGGGTATAGGAGAAGTGGTCAATACCCGACGGTCTCCGCTGGTTACCAGCTCTCGTTGCCTCTTGTGCCGTTCGACGCTCCAGGAGAAAGTCTCGTAGGCTTGTCAGCGTGCTCTAGCGTCCGCGCGGGCCGGTAGGATGTCTCGACTCCGCAACCATCTGTGTCCGCGAAGGAGGAACTCATTACTTACCAGAGGCGTCCGAGCGGTGGGTCATCGGGAAACGTTCCGAAGAAGAAGGTGCTCGACAAACCACCTTCCAGTCTTCCGGGAAGCTCGCGTGCCGATAGAAGCTCGCGCTCGCGGGACACCTCCCAACGTCGAATGGACGAGGAGTCAAGCGAGAAGACGGAGGACGATGAACGGATTCGCCGATTGCAATCCCAATCACTAGCCACGCGAAGGTTCAGCCAGAGCGAAGACTCTTGCGATGTGAATGCAGAGCGGGAGGATAGTAGAGGTGACGAAGCCCAGGCGAGGGGCGATGAAGAAGACGATGAGAATGAAGGAGAATGTGGTGGTGGGCAGGACCACATGGATTGCGAAAAGGCAGCGGCAAGCGGCGGGGTGCTCGGTGGTAATGTGGGTGGTTTCAGAGATGGAAGACCAAGAGATGGAAGATGAGGAAATGGAAGACGAGGAAATGAAAGACGAAGGACAGGATGCTCGGCTCGCCTTGGATGCAGCTGCTGGTACGCCTGGTGAAGCCGGTGTGGAATCCAAATCCAAAGCTCGGGTTCGCAAAACGTCGCAACCCAGGAAGCCTGTGCGGCCGTCGAGGCACCCGAAATCGGATGACTCGAGCGACGATGCTAAAGGGGTGGCCCCTCGTTTGCTCTCCATCCTTGACGACGACGAACCGGAGACGAAGAAACCCAAAGCGGTGAACATGACGCAGTGCTTCTTCCTCGAGTACGACGAGGACGGCAAAAAGATAAAGGACCCCTAGGGTGGTCATTGACGTCATGCAGATTCTTCCAATTCCGGTGGGAGAGATCACCTTCAACCAGCGAGCGCTGAACCCGGCCATCGTCGCAGGCATCGAAGCGGCAATCGAAGCATCAACTCGCCCACAGTCCGTGGATGATCCGGCTCCGTGGGATCCACCGGAGTTGGTGCTGGCTCCGATTAATCCATCAAAGGACGCGGACGAACAAGGAACCCGCGTCCTTCCAGAGGATTTCGACCCCGAACGGGCAGATGAGTTTTTCTATTACCCGGTTGCCGGTCAACATTCTTCCGAAGCTATGAAAAGAGCGGTGGTGAAGAACTCTGCAGCGGTGGAGGTGTTCGGCTTTCGGAATTATGATCGTGTACGGATCATTTATTTTGACGATGACCATACGAACGGGTACCATTATGTTTCCACATATGACAACACGCGAGGTGACCGTGCTATGTTGCCATCGTTCCACCAAGCCAGCGTGGACATCAGAGGATTTTGGGACAGCAAGAAACGGATCGGGCCTGTGGGGAACGTGTCCAAAGGGGATCCCAAAGGCTTGGAACACCAGAAAACATGGAGGAAATTTTTGAGGTCGTGCATGGGGAAGTCGTGTGAGAAAGCATTGTGGACCGAGTGTATCTCTGGGAAGTGGCAGCAGGATTGGACGAACAGAATGAGGGGGTACATGAATGTCGCCACATGCAAGGACCCGGTATGGACACTGGTTAAGGAGTTTTTTTAGAAGTATGAGGCGGGGGAGTTGCCRCTGCACGACAACAAATGCCCAAAGGACTTGCCCGGAAAGCAGGAGGGCCGGGTGCCGGGTCAATACACTGAAGAGGTGCAGGGGAAGAAGGAGCTGTTCCATTGCATAGCGGCTAAGGATGGGGGACCAAACGCTACCGTGTCCTTCAAAGATCTCATTCCATCAAACTTCAAATRTTTTGGAGATATGACGAGGCGAGAGAAGGAAATTGCATTGCGGTTGATGATAGATAAGAAGGTCATCGCCACTACCCGACTGGTTCTTCCAGGGAAGTTGAACATGAGCAACCTCCTCGACATCATGCAGCGGGAAAGATACATGATGCGTCTGTTCAACTACATCGTCTTCAAATCGGAAAACAAAGAGGGGAAAGAATGGAAGGACGGGAACTTCATCGACTATGAAGGGTTGGAGAAAAGGTTCGGTGTGAAGGCAGCCGAATGGGATGAGGAGAGGGAAAGAATCCCTTTGGAATATGTCAGGAGGGTTCCTAAAAGACTCGGCGGAGAGCAAGAGGAAAAAGGCCTGAAAGGAGCTGGCGTGAAGGCCACCGCGGCGTTGTATAGGGACGCACCTTTCCACTTCAACTACTTCGTGTACCATGCGATTGGGAGAGTGGACTTGCTGACAGCAGAGTTGCGGCGATTGTAGAACGCTGCCCTTAATCTTAGCTGGGAGAAGAAACAGCGACGGTCGACATTGCTACCGGTCAACATGCAACCGAAGGAGTTGCTGCCTGCAGGCGATGAAATTGTGACTGCGGCCACGAACTTGAATTGCAAGGCGGCCATCCTAGATCTCGCCAACCCGAAGAACTGCCTTGTATGGATGCCAGCCGATTTCGATGCTCTGCGCAAAATGATGACGAAATTGTGCGGTAATAATTGGATTCTGATTGTATTTGCTCCGCAAAAAACAGCACAAGGCCGTCATGAAGCAACTTTACAACTGGGACGATGCAGAGGTGCTACTCGGGACTTGGAAGCGTTATCTCGCGTTCGGAACGGCTGTCAGCAAGTATGGAAACTGGCAAGTCGATTATAAGGACACGATGGCGGTCGTCCTGCATGCTGAGGGGGACGACCTTAGGAAGGTAACGAAGGCTCCTAAATCGGAGGCAGAGATAGTGGAGCTGAACGTTGATGAGGAGCAATTCAAGAGATGCACATCAAAGCACGGTGGCGAGGAAGGAAACGAACGAGAGGTGTATGGGCGGTGGGAACGACATCCTAAACGGTTGCAGAAGTTGTGCAGTTCGTTTCTGCACGAGGACGAGGGGGTGATTCTTATTGGAAAGTCGCATGCCGGACTTGTGTGGGAGCTCCTGCGCGCTGGCGATCATGTTTTCGCCTGCGACTCGTCGTCAAAAGACATTTCATACTTGACGAAGGTCATCAAAATTATCGGGAAGGATGCGAGAAACGAATGCACCGTTGAGAGACAGAAGACTGCGCATCGTCCTGACAGGGACATGTACCACAAGCTGGGCAAGAAGAGAAACAAGATGTGGGAATATTTGTTCCAAGGCCAACCCAAGACGCCATTCGAGCATGACTACATAGTTCGCAAAGCGATGACACATGAAGCGTACAGTGGCTACCATAAAGCACAAGTGGAGTCGTTTGCGATGTTCGTAGCAAAATGCGAACGAATGAAGTTCGGAGGAAATCAGGCAATGCTGACGTACGATGGACACAACAAGATTGCCAAAGAATATGATGTGTGGAATCCGATCGAGAGCGATGAGGAGACTGAAACCTCAGACCTCGAAATCGAGGAGCGAGTGAAACGTATGCGAGAGGGAATGGAAAGCGTGCCTGCATGCAACGCGCCAAGCCTCCAGGAAGAAGAAGTTCGCACGAAATCGGCGGGTGCGAGCAGTCCAATGCGTGACGTGACCGATAGGGCGAGTTCCATTGAACACATGCAAACGGATTCGCTTACGCCAATTCAAGCACTTGAGAATGTACTGATTCATGGCAATCGTCAAGGGTTCCGGGAAAAGGCTCAATCTCGATGAAACCCGGTCAACGAAATGCGGCCAGACGATGACGAGGATGACTTTGCGGTTCCAAATGCCCTCCCGAAGCTGATGCCCAGTGATGATATCCCTGATAGCATTGCGCAGGCCAGTGAACAGCCGTACTTCATTCCAGACAAGGTGCCAGGAACGACGTCTGACAAGTGGGGGCATCACATTTTGTGGCATATGGACCTATTCGAGCCATGCATTGTACAGGGGAAGTGGATGATGGCAGTCCATCTAACAAAAGGATGGAAAGTCAGAGCCAAACTGGATGAAGCCTCGTGGCTGAAATTGGCGAAGAGCGAAATCATATTTCGTGTTAGGAAAGAAAATGACGGAGCGGACGAAGCAGCTATTGAGGAAAAGGCTCGATTGCTATTCGAATGTCTTCACTCCAAAAACTGACTGGAATATAAACACGGATTCTATGACTTGGAGTCAAGTCGGTCATACAAGAGCATCAACTGGAAGATCGATCTTCCCCAAGCTGGCCATGGCGTTGAGACAATCCGGTTGGGATGCTCACAGATTGGGGGGGAGTCGAACACGCAGTTTGCAACGAGTGTTGGGGAAGCGATG